GGAAGTAAAACTTAATGTGAAATAATTATGCATGCAATCAAGAAATGAATTCAAATTATTTAATGAATTTTCGTCTAGCGGTGTAGGGTGTTATAATTAATTTCAATTATAAAAACTATCGCCAATGAAAATATATTCTTTTGATTTGCTTATTAATGAAATCATGTCTAATTATGATTTTAAATGTAATTATTAAAAATAATAATAATAATTATTAATTCGATGTAATAAAGTAATATTATTCAATTCTTATTTTTAATACAATTTTTTATTTTTATAATTATTTCGCTTTATTACTTAATAATTTAAAAATGCCTTTCTTTGTTAGTTTTTAAGTTAGTTCTAAGATGATGCAACAAAAGGGTTTCCCCTCAACGCATTTTTAAAATCAATAAAAACAAATAAAAAAAAATTATATTATATTGTACTAACCATTAATTTTATTTATTTATTTTATTATATTGAAACAGAATTAATTAAAATATTAGATTTATAATATAAATTTTTACATACCATTTGATGACGTTGTGAAGCAAAAACTATGTGTGACATCACTCCAGCCGTAACGATTTCTAAAAGTAAAAAATATTTTACGTTATAAAAGTTTTTATATCTAAATCATTCCCTATCCATAGGATTAATATTATTATTTTAAGTTATTTTAATGGCTATATTCTCAAGAATCACTATACTTCTAATATATTCTGATGTGCATATACTTTATTTCTTAAACTTTTAGGAGGCATACTAGTTCTATTCATATAAGTTATAGCTATTATTTCAAATAGATTTATGTAAATTTAAGTTAACACAATACATTATCTATTTTAATTCAATACTATTTATTGTTAATAATTACTAGAAGATATTTTCTTTAGCACCCTTAGTCCATCTAAACTTGGTCCTTGTTATTTACGATTATCGGTTTTCGCTCACTACTTCAATGGAATGGTGAATGGTGGAACTTGTAAGCTTTATCATGGCCATTACATACCGCTTACGACT